ACCGGGGACTAAGGAGTGGGGTGAAATGAGGGACTTAGGGAGAATCAGGCTTGGGGACCATAAATTAGAGGGGGGCATTATTAATAACCAAAGTGAGGAAGGATGATCATTGGAACAAGGACCTTAAAACCCAGGGTAAGTTGTTTTATGAGGAGTGTGGTCAGATTATGGGTACTGAGTAGGTGTCTCTCTCCTCCCAGGTGGCAGAGGAGATCAGTGGTCCCTTGACTTCGGCCAATAAGATCACACTGGTGTCCAGTGGCAGTGGGACCATGGGGGCAGCCAAAGTGACTGGGGAAGTACTGGACATTCTAAGCCATCTGCCAGAGAGTGTGGAAAGACTCACGGGTGTCACCATCTCCCAGGTGAGGTCTCAGATCAGGGCTGAGGAGCAGAGTTGTTGGGTTCCTGTGTTGTGTGATGCAACAGGCCTAGCATTTAACCAGCATCCAGGCCTGGGACTCATTGACATTTATTAATCAGTTTCTGTGTGCCAGACACAGCACTATGCTTCTACATAAATGAGTTGTTTTAAATCAAACTACCCTTAGGGTATACAGGATTTTACAAAGCCAGGAAACTGAACTTCCAGCATGTTCCTACTTATTCTGCTGGTGCAACTGGGCTTGAAACCCAGGCCAACTGTCTCTGCAACCTGTGCTTGTGGTCACCCCACTAGTAGGGAACTAGTTGCAGCCTGTTGACAGTTAATTCCAGGGCAGATCACTGCTTTTCTTGGTGCCCCAGTTACTTCACCTATAGATTGTGGTAGAGGTCAGCAAACAGGCTCTGGAACCACTCTTGTGTATCCTAGCTACAGTGCCTGCTAGCTGTGATCTTGGACAAATAATCAACCTCTCTGTACCTGTTTCCTCACCTTAAAATTGGGTTAATAATTAGAAACTATCCTGTTGAATTGTTAAGGGGCTCGAGCAAATATTTGCAGTGTTTAGAATAGTGCCTGGCATGTAGTAAGCATTGTGTGTATGTTAAAAAAATGGAGGCCGGGCATGGTGGCACACACCTGTAATCCCAGCACTTTGGGGAGGCCAAGGCAGGTGGATCACAAGATCAGGAGATCGAGACCATCCTGGCTAACACGGCGAAACCCCGTCTCTACTAAAAATATAAAAAATTAGCCGGGCGTGGTGGCACATGCCTGTAGTCCCAGCTACTCGGGAGGCTGAGGCAGGAGAATCGCTTGAACCCAGAAGGTGGAGGTTGCAGCTAGCTGAGATCGCACCACTGCACTCCAGCCTGGTAACAGAGTGAGACTCCATCTCAAAAAAAAAGGAAAGAAAGAAAGAAATGGGACTGGGTATAGTGGTTCACACCTGTAATCTCTGCACTTTGAGAGCCCAAGCAGGCAGATCACCTAAGGTGAGGAGTTCAAGACCAGCCTGGCCAACATGGTGAAACCCCATCTTTACTAAAAATTAAAAATAAAAAAAATTAGCCAGGCTTGGTGGTGCATGCCTGTAATCCCAACTACTCTGGAGGCTGAGGCAGAAGAATCTCTGGAACCCAGGAGGTGGAGGTTGCAGTGAGCAAAGATTGCACCACTGCATTCAGCCTGGGGGACAGAGCAAGACTCTATCTTAAAAAAAGAAAAAAAGGAAGAGAGAGAAAGAAAGGCACATAATTAGGCCAGGCACAGTGGCTCAAACCTGTAATCCCAGCAGTTTAGGAGGCCCAGGTGGGTGGATCAGTTGAGGTCAGGAATTTGAGATCAGCCTGGCCAACATGGTGAAACCCCATCTCTACCAAAAATACAAAAATTAGCTGAGCATGGTGGGTCATACCTGTAATCCCAACTACTTGAGAGGCTGAGGCAGGATAATCAATTGAACTCAGGAAGCAGAGGCTGCAGTGAGCCAAGATTGCACCACTGCACTCCAGCCTGGGTGACAGTGTCAGACGCCGTCTTGGGGGGGTGGGGAAGCATATGTAAATAAAAGCACTGGATCATACCAGTGATCTTCAGCTGGGTTCCTTGGAGCCTCCTAGAGGCCTGCAGTGGAATATTCAGAGCTAAGGAGAGTTTTTTGTTTTGTTTTTTGGTTTTTTTTAATTTTTATAAAGTTGGGGTTTCACCATGTTGGTCAGGCTGGTCTTGAACTCCTGACCTCAGGTGATCCGCCCACCTTGGCCTCCAAAGTGCTTGGATTACAGGCATGAGCCACTGCGCCCGGCCAGGAGAGTTTTTACAAACAAGGCTCCGCCCCCTTTCCTCTCTTTACTGATTTATTATATGTGGATACTGATGGCTTTGCTTGGGGAAACAGGATGAGGTACGGCACCAGAAAGAAGACTCCTGGACGGTGGACGTGTGTGTTTTCTCTATAGCCCATTCATCTAAGTGGGGGCCTGGGAAAGCAGGGTACCTGGTTCTCAAGCGTCATCTACTGTTGTCTTTTTGCCAGGTGAATCACAAGCCTTTGCGAACAGCCTGAGTCTTCAGCCCTCACAGATGCCCAGCCTTGTAGCTGAAGTTGCCTGAATGATCTCCCTGTTGCATGTAATCCACTGGCCTCCCTGAGCATGTCCATTGACAGTGGGGTCCCACCCTCATCTCTCCTTGCCAAATAGTTTGTGCCTTGCCTAGGATGGGGTTGCTCCCCTTGCCAACCTGACACTGCTGTGATTGCCAACTCCAGGGGTCCCATGTCAGCCTTCTGATGATCCCACTCCACTCCACCTCAACTTCCTAATTAAATCAGACTGTTCGAGCCTGTTGTCTAGAATACTTTCCTGACCAAGACTGAGGGAAGGCCTGGAGGTTTTCAACTTTACTTGCCAAATAAATTGCTGTTATTAAATACTGATACTTGGGAGGCTGAGGTGGGAGGATCACTTGAGCTCAGGGGTCTGAGGCTATAGTGAGCCATGATCATACCACACTCCAGCCTGGGTGACAAAGCAAGATCCTGGTTCTATTAAAAAGAAATTAGGCCAGGCATGGTGGTTCATGCCAATAATCCCAACACTTTGGGAGGCTGAGGCAGGCGGATCACAAGGTCAAGAGATTGAGACCATCTTGGCCAACACAGTGAAACCCTTTCTCTACTAAAATACAAAAATTAGCTGGGTGTGGTGGCGCATGCCTGTAGTCCCAGCTACTTGGGATGTTGAGGCAGGAGAATTGCTTGAAGCCGGGAGGCAGAGGTTGCAGTGAGCTGAGATTGCGCCACTGCACTCCAGCTAGTGCCTGGCAAAAGAACGAGACTCTGTCTCAAAAAAAATAAATAAATGCTAGTGTATCTTGCTCCCTTGCATACAGTAGGCTTTCTAGAATGAGAGAAAAGCAAGTTACTTATATACTCTCAAGAGTTTTAATATCTGCCCTCCACAACAGTCTATTATAGCCAGAAATCATGCTAAAATAGAAGGAATGTTGAGAATAGTATTAGTTCCTTGAATTCCTGAAAATATGGCAAAGGGAAATATTAAGTTATTGTTTTCAAGATACCTTTGAGACTTACTTTGTGAACATACAAGCATGAGGTACTAGATTGAACAGAGTGTTTTAGAATGAGACCATAAGGTAGCATTCCCCATTAGTTACTTTTTTTTAAGACAAAGTCTTGGGCCAGGCACAGTGGCTCATGCTTGTCATCCCAGTACTTTGGAAGGCCAAGGCAGGTGGATTATTTGAGGTCAGGAGTTCGAGACCAGCTTACGTGGTGAAACCCCATCTTTACTAAAAATACAAAAAATAGCCAGGCATGGTAACACCCACCTGTAATCCCTGCCTTGGGAGGCTGAGGCAGAAGAATCACTTGAACCCAGGAGGCAGAGGTTACAGTGAACCAAGATTGTACCAGTGCATTCCAGCCTGGGCAACAGAGCAAGACTCCATCTCAAGGAAAAAAAAAAAAAAAAAAACAAGGTCTTGCTCTGTCACCCAGGCTGGGGTGCAGTCAGGGATCACTGCAGTCTCAACCTCCCAGGCTCAAGCAATCCTTCCACCTAAACCCCCACCACCACCAACCCCTACCCCAGTAGCTGGAACTACAGACATGTGCCACCATGCCTTTATTTATTTATTTATTCAGGTAGAGATGGTATATCACTGTTGCCCAAGTTGGTATGGAACTCCTGGGCTCAAGCCATCCTCCTGCCTCAGCCTCCCAAAGTGCTGGGATTACAGGTGGGAGCCACCATGCCAGGCTCCACTAGAAATCTTGGTGTCGTAGGTTGACTAAGAAAGCCCACAGGATCACAGTAAATGGCCATGGGTACACATAACCCAAAGGAGTCCTAGGCTGCATGGCCAAGGCCAATTCAACCACTTCTGGTTCAGTACATCTGGGTGCAACCAAAAAAATTGCGTTTATTTCTGCAGGTTCCTAGAGGATGCTGATGCTGGTCTGGGAACCAGTTCCGTATGACTTGTCATTGGTCCAGCTTCCATTTTCCATCCCTGGATCCTGCCTTCCCCAGTTAAGACTGATTGATGGGCCCTGTACACTGGCTCACCACCTACAGTCCCAGCTGCTTGGGAGGCTGAGGTGGATCACTTAAGCCCAGGTCGAGGCTGGAGTGAACCATCCGAGACTCCATTAAAAAGACTGACTGGTGCTGGGAGTGGTTTGGGTACCAGAGATAATGATGTGAGGGTCTACCAAGTAGTCAAGTGTTCTTACCAGTACCTCCCTCAGATACCAAATCGGCAGATGCTCAAGTTACTCATATAAAATGACATGGTATTTGCATATAACCTGTGTACTTTAAATCATCTCTATTACCTAAACACGTAATCTAACTAAAATGTTACGTCAAGTTTATACTATTGTTTAGGGAATGAGAAGTCTATACATAATGTCCAGTACTATTTTCCCAGTATCAAGTTGGTTGAATCCATGGCCGCAGAACTCACAGATGAACAAGGACTCAGCATTGTGACGCCTCAATTTAAGGAGAGCAGTGCAGCTGAACTCAGGCCCCATGCCTCCATCAGCAGTGTTTCCCTAAATAAGCACACATATTGCAACTTTTTCCAATTCCCATTTATTTTTGGCTCTTGGGGCAATGTTATCTTTTCAATATGAAAAAAAGCAGCAAGTTCAACACAAAATAGATCTCAAATGTAGGATAGAACAAAATCAAGTGTGTGGTGGGGGGAAGCAACAGCAAAGGGAAGATATGAGATGTTGCAAAAAAGATGGAGGAGGTTCCCCCTCTCCTCTGGGCATTGACTCAAACACTGATGTGGCAGTATACACCATTCCACATAGGGATGTTAATTCCTTTTTGGGGACAAGAAAAGGTGGGGGGTTAGGACATTTCTGGAGGCTTAGGGACCAAGGCTGGTCTCTTTCCCCCCTTGATGCCTTTCTCTGATCAGGGGAAAGGAGTTTAATGAGTGAGGGAGGTCGAGTTGGAGGGAAGGATTCCACTCGACAGAGTGAGGCAGACCCCTCCAAAAGGTAGAGCTCGGAGGGAGATCGAAAATGGAAATAATACTGCTTATACCTCCCTTGAAGCTGAGATGGGAAATGGAAATACGTAGAAATTAATGACTTTTAATAGCTTGGATTTCCCTCTCCAAAACTTTTAGAATGGAAAATCCCATCCCCTTCCTTACAGTGACTTCTATCCCACTACCTTCTACCATTTTCTACTTTGCACTTAGGATGGTTGCCCTTATCTACATACGTTTTCAGCACCTGGTTGGTTCTAAATGGGATCTAGATGAGACCCAGCTTCTTGCAGATTTTTAACAGGGGAATATTAACTGGACAAATGGAAGGAATGGGCACCCGAAGGAAATACAGGGTCACCAAGAATGGCAGAAACCTAGGTTTCCCAGAGTGGAAAGAGAGAGGAGACATTCAACAAACAAGTATTTATTGAGCGCCTACTATGTGCCAGGCACTATTCTAGACCCCCCAGAAGAAAACAAAAAAAAAAAAGATAGAGGCAGCAAACAAATTCTGAGGGAGAGGAAAGGGGCAGTTGAGTAAGACAGCTAAGGGAACTGAGAAGCCTGAGGTGATAGGGGCTCTGCCTTAGGCCTCCTCTTCAGCCTCCTCACCGAAATCCTCCTCCTCTTCTGCGGTGGCATCCTGGTACTGCTGATACTCAGAGACGAGGTCATTCATGTTGCTCTCAGCCTCGGTGAACTCCATCTCGTCCATGCCCTCGCCTGTGTACCAATGGAGGAAGGCCTTC